ATAGTTGCCTTTTGCATCTTCACACCGCACACTCCACGCCCTCATCTTCTTTATTTGTATGCTAGTCTTCGAAATTAGTCAGAAGATTTTCAAAATGGATGTCATCTTGAACCAATTTTGACTGCCCCTCCTCTATGTTTCGTTTTAAGCAAGGGGGAAAAAGCAGATTTTGACACCTAAAATCTCTGGAAATCTCTGGAAATCTTAGGGAATCTTTACAAATCTTTGAAAATCTTTAGAAATCTTTAGAAATCTTTAGAAATCTTTAAGAAATCTATAAGAATCCTTTGGAAATCTCTAGAAATTTTTGGAAATCTTTAGAAATCTTTAAGAATCCTTTGGAGGCTTAAATGAGGCATGTTCCAACAACAATACTACAGTGAATTATCAGGATTGAATGGAATTGGTAATGACCGGCTTGCGTATTATTGTACTGGTGCCGTTACATCCCTAATTTTTCCGTTAAAGAAAAGACCTTTTCAGCAAAAAAAGGATTTTGTTTTTTTATAAAGATTTATCAAAGTTTTTCGGATGCACGTGGTCTCAATATGCTGTTAGTTTTGGAAAGTTTGAAGTTGATTATTTGATCAAATAAACTAGTTTCATCTACAGATGGTCAAACTTAATATAAATCATAAGTTTTTCAAAAATCTCCTCGTTTAATCGAAACTTCAAGTACAAAACTCTAAGAAACTAATTGCGGATTGAGATTCCTCAATCTCCATTACTTATAATCAAACTTCATAAAAAATAATGACCTTTTATGAAAAAACTTGTTCTTTTCGAAAAAAAACTCAAGAACGTAGCAATAACTATATCATTAATATCAATGCACGTCAATACCATTGTGGGTTGAGAGCAATTGGTATTGGGAGATGCATACTTAAAATCAGTGTAAACCGCTTCCAAAATATTTAATGCCATCAAATATCATTTAAATAGTATACTCCCGTTACTTAGAGGAGCGGCAAAAAGAAAAGCCGAATAATTTAGATCTTATGCATGTATGTAAATTTTTTTGCAGTAACGTATTTGCGTATATATTCGAAACATCAGATTAACTCTGTAACATGGCTATGTATTCTTTGAGGTATACTATCGATCAACCATGTTCATCTCCAGTTTTTTCTTCATTAAGTTCCGTTTTTTCTGCATTGGGTTCGATCATATATCTTCCTCTATGGTAGCTATTGGTCTCGTCAATCTTCAAGCTTTTGCGTTCTCTATGGCTCCGACGTTTTCGACACTCAATTATCAACCAAACCTTCTTTCTGACCTCAATTTCACCCTTTAAGCTGTTTTCTATATCTAGGTTTTGTCTTATGAGTTTTCTAAGGAAGAATTTTTAACTAATTACATATTTTTTTCAAGAACAACTTTGATCCAATCCGAATTTTCATGTTTGGAATGTAGTGAAGTTCAAAAGTTTATTTGTGTTCTGCTCGTGTCCGCTCTTTGCTATGTTGACTTTGGCCAATCAATCGCTTGGCTAAATTACTATTTTACAGGCGTCGAACAGCGTATTGTATCTCTGATTAGTTTCATTATAGCACGAGTATTTTCAATTTTCAGTCGATGATTCTGTTACTTATAAACTACAAATATTATGGAGAGAAGCACAAAATTACAGAAACGAATTGTACAAACCAGAGTAATTTGTTCAGTAGATAGACTTTACAAAGTAGGCGACCAGCCGTGAATGTCAACTTTAAGAGGTGCTGACGAACGAGTGATCACTGATATTAATGGTTAAGTGAATATTTTCTTTAGATAATAGCTGTAAAATCTCTAGCATGCTTGTTGAGAATGTTCGGCTAAATTTCGGTAAACGTTGAGTTGCAACAGATGGCAGATTTATCAGAAAGAAGATAAAATTTAAAACAGAACTGATTCTGTATAACAAAATGTTTTGTTTGAAATTTTTCATCGAGAATACTTCTGCTGGAAATTGAATGGTTCATCGCAATTAGCTAAATCTAGATCGACTGATTCGTAGACTATAAATCATCTTTTTGGGAAAGTAAACTTAAGCACGCGAGCGACTAGCCGTGAATGGTGTTTCAAAGAGGTACTGTCGAATAGCTGATCATGAATGTGAAAGTTTCAACGAACAAACGCTTCACAAGATTCGGTTCTATCAAAAAAAAGATTGTCTACGAATTGCGTTCGACTTGCGAAACTCTAAAAGATTATTTTTCCTTACCAACTCTGCGAAACAATTTAACAAAGTGCGTTTCCCACAAAACATCCCCTCCAGCGACGATACTTGTGTTGTCAGTTAAGGAGATTGGGTATATTGAGGTCAAAGTGAAACTCTCACTACCAAACTTACAAAATTAAAATATGAGCTGCTGTTGGTGTGTACCGACCGTGATATTATAGTTTTAAGGTGTTAACAGTGTATGTAGCATGGCCCAAGCTCAAACTTTCAGCAGATTGTTTCATTGCTTTCTTGATAGTGGGATAGAGATGGTCAAGATACAGTAGAAATATACATATGTTCCATATTTAAAAAAGAGATTGTAAAAGGTTTTATACAAAAAATCCATGTTAGCATCAATTCCATATATAAGGGAAAATAGGGCTTAGTCTCATTTCAGGTACTTTTTCGTTGAAGTTATATTTAAAGTAAACAAGAATTTGTAAATATATTAACATATTTTTCTATAATTCTTTTGAATAGATTTTTTTTACAAATAAGTATATGATTATTTTTTTTCCTTGGATTTATGATCACCATAGAAGATCTCTAAAGACAAGTGCAACACTTGTTTCATACTTTCTAGAAAAAATTTATTCTAATGTTAGCAAATACTTTATTGCTCAAATTTAAGATCTCAGTTTCTACGTTTATTTTTCATATCCAACGCTATGATATTCAAGCAAATAGTTATCCTAATGCTTGTAAAGGTTTTTATTCAGTTTCTTTTTCATCCAAAAAAATGAAGGTCTGCTAGTGAAACGCTGTTCTAAAATTGTTAATAACCTATCTNTATACAGGTTGATTACGTTATTTTTAATAGTTTTGTGTAGCTTCCTGTATTCATGTGAAACATCGAAAGTTTCATATTTTGATATAGTTAGATAGAGCATCGACTGCTCTATCGAACCATATGGTTTGCATTTTATCTCTTTTGGTTCTAGTCCAAAATATTGATAAATCTCAAAAGCAGTCGAAAAAAAAAATTTTAAGGAAGAAAGTTTCAGATGACAGCTAGGAGCGGATAAATAGCCATGTTTTGGGTGTGGGTGGGTGTGGGTGTGGGGGCTCCAAGGCAGTCAAGATCGAGGAACACAAATTTTTTTTCACCTCAGATCTAATATTAATCTTTCTCTATTGACCTAAAAATGTAACAATTTTTCGCGAAGCGACAACTTTTTGCAATCTTCTTAAAAAATTCGACTTTTCTGGCAAATTTTGAAGAAGAGAACTCGAGTTTAATGTGAGAAAATTTCTCAATACTGTTCCTATGGCAAGCGACCACTGTGGCGAAAATTGTTCTATATCAAGCTGTTTCAAAGGAAAAATTGACTAAAGTAGGAAGTTTGTCTAAGTTAACTGTGATTAGACAATTGTTATTTTTCGCGAAGCGAAACCTTTTTTCGGATTCCTGAAAAATTCGTTTTGTTCCTTATGCTGTTCGAAAAGAGAAAATGTTGCGAGAGCTCTTAGCGCTTTCGTCGCCAAAGACGGTCACGCAAGTGACGACTGTTGGAAAATGAAGCTCTTCAAAAATAAGATCAGAGTAAGATTGCTTTACAAACAGAAAAATCACAGATATTTTTAGGCTGAGTGCGCTCGCGTACTCACGTTAGCACGAAACAAAAAATTTAAACTTCTCTTCAGAATTTTCTAGCAAAAACTTCAAGAAAAAATTATCGATTTTTTTGCCTATGGATGAATAATTTTTAATTATTGGGGGGGGGGGCGTGCTCCCCCTACACCCCCCACTTTCGTGGGGCCTGGATTCACCACTGAGATTTCATTTACAATATGAAATAGTTACTTGATCTATAGATAGTTTGGTTTACAGAAAGGCCGAAAGGTTTTTCAATAAAGCAATGTCAGATCAAAGATATCGGAAGGGGATGTGATCGTAATTAAAAACAATCTATTCGCATGTGTTCGATGTGGTATGGATTTTTTTGTTTGAATTCGCTTGGAGAAATCGAAAAACAATTTCTGCAGGAATTGTGGATGTGGAGTGTGGTTCTTCATACATTCCTACTGACAATGACAGCGGCTCACCCACACCCTATATAAAATGAACAACCAAAAAATAGGTGAAAATCTAGAATGTATCCTTACTGATGTCGACACTCATATTAGATGATGTAACATGCAAATACAAGGTTACTGTGTCCGATAGACATAATCGAAAGATTAATCTTTAATAAACTATTTCTCTTCATGGGCAACTATCACCAAGTCATATCTTTCATTCGACCTTTGTTTGTAGCACTGTTAGATTTTCTTCAATGAACGCATCTAGAAAACTCTTGTCTGAGTTTAACAAATTCAGAGAAAATATGAGTATCATACGTTATGATTAAATTGCAACACAACATATTTCGGTGACCATTATATTTCAATTCGTATTTATGATAGAATACATATAGACAATGTCAGAAATATCTAACTCTTAGAATGATGATCATTCAAAGAACGATGTACTTTTTAAATAAGCATTGTATATGCGGACCTTGTGGTTTATTTCGAATAAACAACACCGAAACCAATCAAGCTAAGCATGGATAAGAGTTCAAGTGCTGTAGATACGACATCGATGTTTGACTATTGCTTCTTCTGCAATATCCATCGTAATATGTGCTTACCAATTAATGTCTGATTGAATTCCTTTTTGTAAAGAGTTGATGGTAAGACATAGAGAATGAAACCAAGAATTTGTGGTGCATAAGAAAGTAAATAGGCACAAAGTAATGTATGACGCTGCCAATCTTCCTGATGTTTACATGCTAAACTAAATGTGATAATGATTTGTGGTAGAGAAGACAGTACAATAGTTATTGGTATGATATAAAGATCTTTTTGTGTTTGAAATTGTTTTTTCAATACTTGATAAAATGTGTTGCTTTCTCTAGTTGCTTTAAGTCGACTTTGAGCAGCCTTAACAATAAGGGTAGTAATGCAAATAATTTGAATAGAGAATGGTAAGAGATAATCTATTAAAGTTGCAATACGGTTGTAAGTCAAAATGGATTGAATACGAATGTCAATAACACACATAAATGAATCAGTTGAAACATGTTGAATAACACTTGAATAGATAATTTCATGTGTATGCATAGCCAATATGATCACCAATGTAACTGTGCTCACTACGATAGCTATACGAGGATTTTTTGAAGCACTTCTATTTGGAGAAATAGTCATGAGAACACCATGAACAGTAATCCAACTTGTTAGATAGAAGGTGGCTCTCGTTAATACAGAAAGAAGATAGGACATTGCCTTGCATAAATGTTCATTAGGAATTTCAAATGTGATTTCAATAAGTTTGAGAAGTAAGCAAAGTAGAGCAGCCTGATTAAGAACAGAAGCCAACAATAAATAGTTACCAGCTGCAGCTTTTCGAGGTGCAGGTCGTTTGAATGTAATGAATGAACATATATTATTGAAGAGACCGACAATGACAAGTAACAAAGCTATAGAAGTATAGATAATTTTCCTTTGCTTGGAAAATTCGATAAGGAGTGAATCGAGAGTAAAACCAAATGCTTGTAAATTGAGTTCACAAAGAGGTCCTTGATAACAATTTGGACAAAGACAAATGAAATCCTTTGTATTGTTTAGATCACCATGAAGACATCGACCTGTAGATAAACATTTGCTACAATGATCAATTTGAGGATTATGAAGAAAACAACCAGCTTCATAATGGTCTAGTGAACAAAAACAGAAATAGATTTCATCATAAAAACAATACTTTTCAGTATTATTTTGACAAATTTGATGATACTTAAAAACAGCTGGTATAGATGGACTACTATCTAAAAGAGAAGCAGATGAATAACATGATTAATATATATAAAGTTAAATGTTTACCTTCAGATAGAATTGATAAAGCATGAGGACACTGGTGAGGAGATGATGTTATATTGATTCTCTGCTCTTGTTTTACATATACAATAAAATACTGTGGATTTGTTTCATGCGTATAAGTTTTTACAATACCAAAAGGTGGCACATAAGAACCTTCATGAGCATAGTGAACTCTTGATGGCAAACCATAGTGTACTTGTTGATATTGGATGTGAAGTGCAGTATTACGTGGATTGTACAGTTGAATAACAGTTGCACGAACAAACGAATCATTTTTTATGTTGAGATCTACATAAACAGGTGCTTTTTCTTTTTGGCATTGATTACCATAGAATCTCGAAGAACAGTTACAAATGTATGACATATCTCCATTTAGATGTTCTCGAACCAAGCAAGTTCCATTGTTTAAACAAGGATCAGAATAGCATACATCAGTTTTTAAAACACATCGTGGCCCAAAATAATTTAGTGGGCATATACAATATGGCTTTCTTTGACTGATTAGAATAGCATTATGATCAGGTCGACAAATTGAATTTTTCGAACAGTATCTGTTACAAAGAGGTTCATAATTGTTACAATCTCTTCCGTAATAACCATTCTTGCATGAACAATAATAGGAATGATTGAGATTTAAAATTGACATGCAAATAGAATGTTCAGAGCAATTATTTTTTAAGCAAGGATCAAGTGTAGAATTACCAAACCAGAATGGAAATTTCAGGACAACAGCCAAACGAAATGCAGGTAAATAATCAAAGTAAATTTGATAATGCCATGAACCAATTTCTTTCATAGTTTTATTCTGTTCTGATAAGAAAATATCAAAATGAAGTGAATACGGATGGTTATTAATTATATCACTACGATTGAAATAACGTGTCCGTTTGTGTTCAAGCATATGATCAGAACGTGAATATAAAAGATAAAATTTATATTTCATGTTTTGGATTTTTGGATTTTGTCGAACAATAATAAATTCATGAGAATCAATAATTGTATTGCGAAAAAGAAAATTGCATTGAACTTTGAAGGTATAATCTACGATTGTTTTCGGTAATGTTTCTTGATCAAGACGAGCAATAACGGTGATTCGATCACTGAAAAATTCGCACCATTCTCCATAATATGCAGGTGGACACAAACATATAGTTTTATTTATTTGAAGAATAGCTACACCTCGATTACATTGATAAGAATGAGCCATGAAAGAATGATTCTTTCGAGATTCGATGTACAAAACGTTTTCTTTCATGAAAATAGGCTGACTTCCATTTTTAAATGGAAATGATGGAAAATTGAAATTATACGCATAAGAGTTCTTGGATAGCCATTTGTTCCGACGATAAGAGAATTGGCTCTGACCCATGCTAAAATCACACCAATATTCATCTTCTCCGTGTGGACAATCTGGTTTGCCATCACACCTTACATTTTTCATGCACTTGTTATTTACAAGACAAATGAAATCAGAATTACCAGAACATGTTTTGTTTTCATCTCGATGTTTGGAGCAGAGAACTTGCGTACAATTATGAACGACTACATCCAGACAAGCAAATCGATGATGTATGAATGTGTTCTCACAACGCAGTATAAAACCTAACATTTCTGAACCGATCGCAATTGTATTCTTTTCATCATAAGCATTGTAGCAATCTTCTACACCGTCTCCAATTTGAGTAAAATTTATGCATGGACGATTGGTGACTATATCTAATGGATTTGATACTCGAGATAGATAGCAACCAAATTCAAAAGAAACATTGCAAATTTTAGAAAATGGTAATTGTGAATATTTTTTTCGACATTCTTCGGTTCGATTTTCCAAATTATACAGATTAATGTTATGAGAAGACCATTTTTTAATTAGCACAATAGCTTCTTCATCTGAAGCATCGCTACAATCCCATATTCCATCACATACCCATTCAACCGGTATACATTGACCAGTTTGACATTGATATTCGTGCTTTAGACACACCCAATAGCGACAATAAGAAGGTAATTCATCAGCTCGTGCATTCATATCCCAAAAGCTATCACAATACCGTCGAAATTCTATATTAGTAAGCGGTGTCGATGATTCAGAATGGTCAAGCGAATGATTACTGACTGTAATATTTGTAGATGACATCGTGATATATTCTCTCCACGCTTTACATTTTGTACTACCATGTTTTTCACAGAATCCAATTTTACTACCAATCTTTACAGTACCATACCATAGTTCATCAAACATATTTGAACAATGATCGCGTTCATTGCTCATTTCGCGCAAATGAAGACAATTGTGTTCGTCATTAAAACATCGGAAGCGATGTCGACCGACATTTCCTGTACAATAATCTTTCTCGAATACTTCGTGTTCATCTTGATTATAAAGACAATCACCAAATCCGTCCCGAATTCGATACTGGGAGATACAAGATCCTCCAATGTGGCAAACTTCAAGGGCAACAGCATACGGGCGGCCATTGAATGTTAAAGATTCATTCCAACAAAACTTGTCATGTTGAAAAGACGAAAAGTAATTTCGGGTTCCGTTCATGTCACAAAGCACTGCGTTTGCACCACGTAATGCAACCATATGAGGCGATAAACCTATTGGTTTGTGAGAAAACAATACGAATTCATATCCTCTGCATAAGACTTCACCATAAAGTAAGAACATGTAATTATTTGGATCTTTTTTAGATAATGTTGACATGTCGTATAAGATGAATGTATTATTATCAATTACACCTGGTGGTGGATAATTAACATGAGATTTCATTGGACATACACGTTTCATTATTGCTATACAATCGTAGTCTTTACATGGACAGTCTCGTTCAAAATTGTCCGTAAAAAAACATCGAAATAGATAATGGCATTCTTGAGGTGAAACACTGCTAGTTGCATTGATGATATGCCATGAAGAATATAGAGGATCATCATAGTTTTCGTCTGGCCAACACAAACCATTAGCGAGTGTCCAAGTACGTCGATGCAAGCTCAACTCACACATAAAGTTCAGATTTCGTTTGTTAAAACAATCTCTTGATCTTGGTAACCACCGCTGAAATGCTATTCGATCAAACCATGAAATACACTGACCATCACCGCAAGAATACTCCTCACGTGTGCACACATGCTCGTCACAAACGATTGCATCCGAAGTGTAGAAGCACATGCTACTCACACCCCAAACTTCGTCACTCCAGTCCATACAATCTTTATCACCTTTGCAGACAAAAAGTTTCATGAAAATCTGTATCAGTTCGAATACTAAGAGGGCTCCAAGAGAATTTAAAGTTATCATATTATACTTTTCCATACATTATGTTCTTCCTCTACTCCTTTTAGCCACTTTAGTGCTTTTAGGCACTTTACTCCCATTAGTCGTTTTCCTTACTTTAGTCCTTTCATTTCTTTTAGTCCTTTTCGTGCCTTTCCTGACTTTAGTCTCTTTAGTCCCCGTAGTCACTTTAGTCCATTTAGGGCTCTTAGTCCCTTTTAATCTTTTTAGATCCTTTACTCAATTTCGTGGAGGCTAAAAAGACTAAACGAACATGGGGGACAAACATACCTAAAGAGAATAAAGGGATTCAAAGGATTAAAGGGAGTCAAGGAACTACAGGGCCGAAAGGTACTGAAGGGATTAAAGGCAGGAAAGAGACTCAAAATGACTAAAGGGACTGGAGGAACTAAAAGGAGTAAATGTACTAAAAGTGTAACGCATCTATAGCATGCATTGTACGCATGATGTTTTTCCTCGGGTTCGGGTCACTTTGCCGACAATTACTTTGTCGACATGTCACTTTACCGACATCACTTTGCCGACAAAAACCAAAAGTCAAATAAAGGGAAACTTTTACACACTACTACGTCTGATACTCTTTCAAAATTCAACGATTACCTGTAGGATAAATTAGAATTAAATTATGCTCTCTAGTCCGAGCAGCGATGGTGCTTAGTTCTATAAATAGACAGCCCAAAATAACCATTAACAGACTTTTGCATATCAAGGAAAGAGTTTTGATGATTTTTATCAGTGGGTCTGTGAGCGTAAATATCAGAAGGAGATGAAATGGGCTGTAAGAGTCACTACCATTTGTATTGGATATTAGCTTGCAATTCGTAAATTGGATGCTGATCAGCTTAATCATGGTCCACAAACAGAAAAATCTGTAGTTTCGCAAGCCTGAATTCAAATGAAAGGGATTGTCTCAATTAGTAACAACCAGCCTGCATAAATCATAACAAATATCAGTGCGAAAAAATCATATGGGTGTGAGTGTTTCGCAACTCTTCGCCAACACTGACATTTCGCATTCTTTTTCGGCAAAGTTCCGCGTCGACAATGTATAATTGTCGGCAAAGTGTACCTGTCGGCAAAGTGTACTTGCCGGCAAAGTGATCTGTCGGCAAGGTGGTGTCGGCAAAGTGATATGTCGGCAAAGTGAACGCGACTCTTTTCCTCTTCTTACTATTTCTTCTCATCGTATATATTGTCCTTATATTTTTGTCCTTACTTAGTTTATCGTACTGTACTTTATCCATATCATATTATACTTATTTTTCGTCTGTGTTGCCGTTTCCTTTCATGTTCTTTCCTTCTTTTTTGTGAAAGAGTATATAACCATATGCTTTGGATGTAAACAAAGCAATTGTTGGTAGGAAGAAATACATTAAAGCGTAGTTCCATCAGCGCTAGATCATCTCCTATCTAAAATTCGTCACAAAAAAGACTACAGGGAATAAAGGGATTAAAGACGCTAAAGGCACTAGAGGGAGTAATAGAACTAAAAGAGCTAAAAGAAAGAAGAAGAGGAAGAATATCCCTGCCTTGCGTCTATCTTTCAGTATGGGGTGCTGTACAAAGACAGTTTCAGAAGCCCGATGTTTTTCCTCCAACTGTTACTAGTTGCAGCTCTGGACAGAAGGCTGGTGTGTGACTCAGAGTTCTTCTCCTCTAAGCTTCTTATGCATGCTGACTAACCACATACGAGCCAAAAGGTTTTTTTGTGCATGTCGACAACGTAACTAATTTTTTATCGGATTGGTGGTTCGAGACAACATAGCCGTTAGTGACTTGTCCAAGGTCATTCTATGGATAATGGCGCTGAGGTTCGAACACTCTATTTTGTGAATATGAGTCGGACATCTTTACCATTCAGCCATATCGCCCTGAAGAGCTGATAGGACTAAAGGGACTAAAAGACTGAATATCATTTATAAGAAGTAAAAGTGATGTAAAAATATAAAGCTTTCATCTAGAAAAGTAAAAGCTGTTAGCGCAATCCCTTCCGGCATTAAAAATGTGAAACACGAGGGCCCTATCATTAATAATCAGATGAACATCTTTTGGTTCGATTTCTTTATGATAGATTTGTAGTTTAACGTTAATTTGATTCTTCAAACTACAATTTGTCTGTCATGGTCTGCGATGGGTCTTCAGAGTTCCTTGTCATGGTCTGTGAGAGGGGGGGGGGGGAAGAGTGGGTGCAAAACTTCTACCTTAAACGCTTCAACACTTCTTTGAGATCGTGTTCCACAAAACAGAACAACTTTGAATTCTCACGGACCTAAGGGTACTTACCATCGAGCCAGAATTCTTCTGCAATACACATACCATTGGAACATGGAAAGTGATCATCTTCACATTCATTAAATTCCAACATATCGCAGTTTTGTTCATCTATACCAAAGGAGGCTCGTTGATGGCCATCGCAAATATCTCGCCAATCGAAACACATATAAATGTTTGTATTACCGATAGTTTCATAACAGAGAATTTTTCCATATCTTTGAGTATTCCATGAGTCACCTTCTTCCTTATCCTTAAATTGAGCTTTCATAGCTTCATGAAATGATGTAGCATAATGTGTTAATTCATACTCACAGTATTTTCCAAATGTTTCTGGTTTTGTGCAGTTACAGAGAAACCGATCATCATTATCTGGATCATATTCAACTTGTGACTGATTGTAGAAAATACTAGCATACATATCAGCTGTTTCAATACTTGAACTCCACTTTAGAACTTCGCTAGGTTGAATACCTTGATTAAGTAAATCTCGAAATAGTTTTTTTTCACCCTGGTTTTCACAGTAGTTACTGTTTCGATAAAGTTTTTCAATCCGATAAGGACGTCTACAATATGGAATATCTGTTCCATCTTCGTTGATCTCATATACACAATCGAATTTTTGAATTGCATCATTGTTTTCAGTATCATGCAGCAGAACTCGACCATGTGAAACGGTAGAGGCTAAAGTAAATGCTGTTGCCAGAATCATCCACATCTTCAAACTAATCCACTGAAATAGGAAAGAATAGTGTAGAGTATACTTCGTCAATTATCGTCTATTTGCAGAAAGAAAGAAAAAAAATGAAGACGTCATTCCTAGCACATTCTGATCTCGGAGCAATGTTCAACATGAACAAGTGAATAGGGAAACGGCGTAGATGATGGATGCTACGTGATATACACATAATAAAGAAATTGGTAAACTGTCGCAAAGACTAGAGTCACTTGCTTTGCTCTATAGTCATACTTGAGAAGCATGATAAATCTATTTGATAACTACTTCATATTAATATGTGCTATTTCAATTATTAACATTGTGTTGTTGTCAACTGTGAGAATGCATAAAAGCATTGCATGAATAAAAGTCAGGAAAAGTCATGTTCAGATGAAGTGCTTTTTTAAGCTGTCTTCTCTACAGAATTTATTTGAATGATTTTTTCCTAGCTTCCTGATATTCTATATGGAAAGTTTTTTAGAAAAAAAAATAATAAAATGTTAGGGCATGCAAAGGAGATGAGCATTTTGAAGAGATTTATTTCTGTTTCGGAAGATGATTGCTATTGTAGAATATTGGTCGATTCAACACCATCAATTTAGGATCGTGATTCACATCATAACAGTTTGATTTTGTATTTTTTTTCTGTTGACAAAGGTAAAATCAACTTACTATACCTTATTCAAATAATGTTCATATTTTATCATCCTTCCTTTATTTATTCACTATTTCTTAATAACTGTGAAAGAATAACGTCATTCCATATTATTATGCTTTATTATATGTTCCCTTTAATTAAATAAACGCTGAATGATGTTGACCACTGTTTTGCTTCGTATTGATTGAAAGAATAATTTAGAACAGGTGAATAATGCTAGAAGCTGTCTCTACTTACGTATATCAGCATTAATAAATAGAGAACTGTAAGAGTGGATTCTTTTCCACTCCAAACCAGACTCAGATAGCTCCGATCAATATCCGTTTGACAATCGTTTATAACTATCAGAGATCGAGGAGTCCCCAAAAAAGTCGCACCGTGACCGCCCCACCCCGTCCAAAATACGTTTTCAAAAACTATTTCTCGACAAACGAGGGAACGGCTTTGCATGTAAAACGGCTCTAAATAAAAATCATCCCAGAAAACTTTATAGAATTCAATTTCATCGTTCTCTAAGTAAGAATAAAGCATCTGGGCCTCTTTCAGGCCACGTTTCTAGACCTCTTCTCGACATTTCTACCTAAGAGAGAACCATTATTAATATCGTGATTCCCCTCACAGGTTAATCACGCCAGTTTACCAAATGAAACTCATATTTCCAGGGGAGATAGAGCTTCTCAAAAGGTACAAATTGATCCCAAATCTTTAAGGGAAGTATGCTGCACTCGAAAATCTCCAAGAACCATACTGTTCAGGTTCCACAGGAAAACTCATTGTTAAGATAGTATGATCGACACGATCTTCAGTCTTGCTGTTGATACCATCATAATATTTTGTATTCAGATAGAGCTTTACAAGAGCTTGAAGATGAACTTAAAATGTGAAGAAAAATATGCTGCGTTAGAGAATTTCCAAGGAGCACACTCGGATTCTACGCAGTCCATTATTAGAATAATATGGTCGACACCTTCATGAGTTGTCGCCATTTTTTCGACGCAGATAGAGCTTTCCAAGATTTACACGATGATCACAAAATGTGATAGGAAACAAGTTGTCCTGAACAAAATCATAGACGATACTATCCAATCGCTGTGAGAAAAACAGTTATCGAATGAATATGAAGAATGGACGTTGGAACTCCGATCATAGAATGGTGATGAATATTAAAGTCAGTGATAGAATGGATTGTAGATAGGAAGCCGCTATGAATGTGCAATGAACCAATGCTAAGCGATTTATCGAGGATGATTGGCATGCAGTAATAGAAGAGTGATTTTAGGAGTTGCGAGGAAGCGTAGTACTCACGGAAAGATTCGTGTAGAAGATGTAGTGTACAGAGTGTGTGAGGTGGAGGTGCCTATAGAGTGACGGAGAATGATGGAAAATATGTTGGCTAGATCGAGACTTTGGCATATGGTACGAGAGTAGAGAGAAAAGAAGAGATAATATGTTTAATGGACAGTGGTTTCGAGAGAGGTTAAGAGATGAGACGACAGTTGCGAAAAAAACGTTTTCCTTGATGAGTGATTAAGAACGTAGATGCTTCATACAGAGAGGGATACGAAGAAGTATTCGTCAAAGAGAGGCAGTTGTTAGATTTATTTTACATACGGTGGTGATAAAATATATATGGGAGAGGTTACATGAATTCCTATTACATTTCACATTAAGGCGATTCAAACACTTATATCTGTCATCGTTATGGTGGTTGTGTAAGTGTGAGCAGCGCACTTCCTCTAATTGCAAAATGTATTCGAGCTTTCTTCATTAACGATTTGTTTCCAACGCCTGCAAGGATGGATGCCAACTTTTCTACAACTAACCACCATACAGGGGCCATATTTTTCAGCGATTTCATAGTGCGAAGCACAAATCATATCTCCAAAAACATATAATTGACCACACTATACTCAATGTCCACTGCTCCCAAAATTGCTTATACTATGTTCCTTGAGATTTTCTGGTAGCCCAATTGCTGCCTAATCTTTTATTATCATTTTGCAGCTCTTCAATCACTCTTTCTCCACAAAAAAGGCGGCAATTGCATCAGAAGCCACAGTCTAGATCGCGAGAATCATACTAACGAATTAATTGTTTTTCCCGTAGAACGCGGACAGAGTGGTCCTTGGAAAATGCTCAAGCGCAGCACATTTTTCTTTACATTCCATGATCATTATGTACGTCTTGAAAAGCTGTATCTGCACAAGAAGAATGACAAAGGTATCAGGATCGATATTGAAGATCCTATGGAATATAGTGTGGGTGTGGGTGTGGTTGATAGGTCACTCACACCCATCTCCAAATACTATTATGTTGTTTATGTGGTTATTATAATTTTGATAAAATAGTGTAATTATTTCTAACTGGAAGATCGCACTTTAAAGATGAGTGCTTCATGTTTTTAAATAGTTTATGGCTTATGTTTGCGTTTATAGTACGTACTATACATTGGCATTGATCTGTGTGTATGGCACGTTGTTTATGTTTATATTGGTTTATAATTACTTGAATATATGGTACGTGGCTGATGTTTATATTTGTGGGATATGGGTGTGGAGTGTGAATTTGGGTCTGAGTCTGGGTCTGACTGATAAGTCATTCACAAACGCACCAACATCTGCCAACACCCATACTCGCATCTGACATCCACAACCGCAACTGTATCAAAGTAGCGGGCTGTAAGCTTTATCTATGTTTATAAAGCAATATCACTGACTGTCTAGTACCAGACCAAGGCTAAAGTATAGATGTCAAACTTTAAAGGAAAAAGAGGCAGTGTACCTTGCACGGAATCTCGCTAGTTAATAAATATTTCATAATAAGATGTTTCTAAATGAAGTTTATTTTATATTCGAAATATATTGATATGTTTATTCAAAACTACAGACAAATAGATTTTTTAAATTTTTTTAAAATTTCTATAACCAACAGTTCAAGAATTTATTTTCAACTCAGAACAGAGCATGCTTTAACAAAACACATTGTGAAATTATTGAAAATCTATTCAAAATTGTGATTAACTGACGTACTTCTTCTGTTTTATTGCATAGATATTTTTTCTTAAAACAAAAATCTGTTCAGTTATACATTTTTTCAAAATATACAATAAAATAAAATTAGATCATGCAGTTAAATTAAAGTATGGCTCTGATAAACTTTAATTAATTTGCAAATAATGGTTGAATAGAATTATTCTTAAGTTAGTATTTATTATGAATATGTAGAATTGGTTTTTAGTCATTGAATGATCGAGAAAGAAAATGAAAAATAGTTGAGTATCGAACGGAAATTTCTATCTGATGTATGTTTAATACATAAATTATCATGCGAAAAAACAAGAAAAAATCTCATAAACAAAATAATCTACTCGTTTTTTTCTTTCATCAAGGAAGAGTAGTTAATATTGGATCTGATTTGAAAGAAAAATATCAGTTCGATTTGAAATTATATAAGTATGAAATCTATTCATATTAAATTCAAGTTTACTTTAATTGATATTCATTTAACTTCATAAGAATAGATTGATGAGAGTTTCTATAAAAATGAAATTTTTTTCCAAATATCAAAAGGATAAGAAGAAAAAAAATGCTCTGTATTTCGATTAATAACTAGTCAAATTAGTTTATTTTGGCCTCGTTTCACATAGAAAGATAAAGCGATTTGAAACGAACATCGGTGTCGGTGGAAAATAAGGCAAAACCTATATTCGAACTCTCTTCATAGTAGTTACAAAGAAAATAACCATGAATTATTCAATTGATGAGTCGATGAAAAATTAACATTTTAAAATTTTTATTTCAATTGATTATTGGTTGATATTGACAAACGAAAGAATATTATATCATAATGTTAATGTGCATTATTATCAGTTTTATGTGAATTTGATTCTCGATCAATTAAATGTATACGATTGTTTCAGGGGTTGATCTGTCATTTACCATAAATCATTCAGATTAACTGAAATTTTCATCAATTTCTCTGAATATACATATATGGTTTTCATTACTCGATAAACCTAAAGACAAAAATACAATTATGACTAGAAATTTAATTTAACTTTAGGTTTTCATTTTCAATACCAATTTTCAACTGATTTTGTCAGAGAAATGTTCTAAGCCTTATGTTAATGTATACTTTGCTCTCTGTTACAATCAATACAGAGTTCTAATCCCTTTCTAGTCTGTAAGACTATCATATTTGGATGAAAATGCTTGAGAATTCATTCTTGATTATATCTGTAAAATAAATTCCTTACATCATCCAACTATATTTGAAGAAAACCAAGCAATCATTGTATCATGAGAAACTGATCTACGTTGTTGCAATATTAGAAATTATTTAT